GTGCATTTCTGTGCTGCAAAGAAGAAATGCATCCTGCAAAGGAAACTGCAAATTGGCGGGAACTCTCTCCTACACGCGGGTTCTCAATTGCAGCAGAACAATCTGCCGTGCAAAGGAGCTCTCGTGTGGCCAGGAAATTCCATAGTGCCGAGGCACAAAAATCACTGGGTCGTGACAAAGTATAGCATATACATTAAGCTAGATGGATTTTTCTTTCTTCTCTTTGATCACCTGTCAGTTTTTATTCATTTCATTTGTTCATCCTTCTCCCTCCAATGCTGATTCACAGGATGACAACTAGTTTATTCCACTCCTCTCCATTGCACCTTGCACCACAGCTACTTGTCCCTGGGGAATGCCCATAACATACATGCATTCGCAAATGGCAAGTTACCCCAGGGCTAGTAGGGGAGGCTGGATCCAGCACTGTGCTGGATATCCAGGGGTCAAAAAAAGCCAGAGGGGAAAAAAATGGCACAGTGCATGCTCAGACAGCGTGGCCTTGCAGGGAGGAGAACACCACATACTGCACGACCATGCTTGTCTGGAGACGCCCATAAAGGACTTTATGTGGGAGTGTGCTTGTTGGTATCCAGAATGCATGCCTTGAATAGCTTTAAGTCTTCCTTCTGAGCTTTGTTATGACAAGCTACTAGCTGATTATCTCTTAGATCTCTTGATTTTGGATGCAGCCCTCCCACAGAACATGCAAAAACTTTCCACTTGCCCTTGTACTTGAAAGTGCCTAGTTTCCTGTCTCAGTGCTTTGAAAGAGCTCCAGCTTGCAGCTGTACATGAGCACTGAAATTATCTGATTTGAAAATGTTCCATTTTGTTCCAGTGCAATATAGTGATATCCATGTGTTTTTAAGTTTGATGAATGCAAGTGCCTTTTCTACCCTTGACATCACTTCCTTCTTGAGGTCTCTCTTTGCTAGCACAGTACTCCCCGGGTATCCAAACTATTCTATCTTCTTGATGTTTTTTCCTTCTAAAGTGATGTTACAACTTGTTTCAAGGTGGTGGGTTTTCTGGCATGACTGATTTTGGGCCCTTGCCAAGATGTCTATCGTTTTTGTCGCTCTTTGGAGGTGTACTCAATGCCTCAAGATTGTCAGCAAAATCTAAGTCTATCTAGATATTTGCCATCTATTAGCACTATGCCAGGAAATATTTTACCTTTATTTCTTCATTATCCAATGTGTGGCAGTGCCGGACAGAAGCAGAGAGAGAATGCAGCCCTGTTTCATACTGGTGTCCATTCTGAACCACTTTGATGTTGAGCTGTTAGCCCTTACAGAGGATTTCCATCTCTGTCTTTGGCCTTGATTTTGACAACTTTGACTGGCCTTCTGTAGGACTGAAGGACACTCTGCCATGTAGCTATTTCCAGGCTGCCAAATGCCTTTGAAAGTCAGTGAATTTAATAATGAGGAGAGGCTGCTATCTGAGTGTGGTCCTAGTGTCCTCTGAGCAGAGCCTTGGGCTTAAAGCCAGCTGATTCTTCTCTATGATTTGCATCTGTGCTGCCTCCTTTATCCAATGTAGTACCATTCTGCAGAAGACTTTCCTATGACAGAGCAGTGTCATTCCTTTCTTTTCATTGCCAGTGAGAGCCCCCTCCTGGCTATTCTGGAAATGATCCTGTTTCCACTGGTCAGATGTCCTTCTGTCCCCTTGTCATGAACCCCACTATGGTCTGGGATATAGGGTGCCATGAAGGTTTTGTTGTGCTTATTTCACTGATATGGTGCATGTAGTTTTGTTGGAAAGCCAATGCTATGCTGTATCCATCCATGTCACTTTTATCATTATATAAATGCCATGCTGTTTATGTATATCTTTATGATTTTGGACATGGTTTAGCCAAGGAACTAAGGGCGCTTGTATATGTGATGATGTGGCCACGTACATGTGATGAAAAGTGATGAGAAATCGCTATTTGACTAGCATAATTGCATCACCATATACACATGCACAAAGTTTTTTGTGTCAATATTTTTTGAACATAGCAACTTAGACCACCTCCAATGTATTTTAATTTGGCCATGGCAATTTTCCCATTGTGGACAAAAATCTGTCATGTGTACATGTCACACAGCTCCTGCCACCTCCGCACGATGCCCTGGGAATGGACTGGCTTGCCCTGGGGCAGTGCATGAAGGTGGCAGGAGGGTGGCTGGGTGTGCTGGCAGCCGGGGAAGGCAGCAGGGATGGTGCACAGGGTGCTGGAAGCCTGGGCAGGCTCTTGGAAGCGCAGGCTTGGTGGGCTTCCAGTGGCGGGAAGGCGATGGGGATCGTTCATGGTGTGCTGGAAGCCTGGCAAGCCAGGGCTTCCCCCAGCACACCTGGGCTTCCAGTGCTCCAAGCACTGTTGAATCAGGCCATATGCTGCAGGCTCTGCTGAGGGGTGAAAAAAAAAGCAATGACGGGCCTGATCCTTTTTCTTTTCTTGTGAAGTCTGCCGGCCTCTCCCATGGCCAGGGGTAAGTTGCCGGCGGCCCCTGAGCTGCAGGGGTCCCCCAGTCCTTCCCTTTGCAGTGGCGGTGCCTACCAGGAATTCCTGGGAGGGCTGCCATCAGGCAGGTGCCACCCAGGGGGTGCTGCCACTATGGGGGGAAGGTCCAGGGGTTCCCACAGCTCAGCTTAATTATAAAAAGGAACAATAAATCCACAAGGTAACCGATACATGTATGTATAAGCAGACCCTGAATATGTGATCTTTGGTCTCAGCTGTAAAGGGCAATGCCTGGAACTTAATGAAAACAGAACTTGTACATATTGTTCTCACATAATATTATACAAACCATATGGGAACAATATTTGCACAGCTTGCAAAGGGCAAAGTTTCTGCAAACTTTATAAAATGTAGCCAAAAACTCTGGGGCAATGCAACTGATTCTAGAACAATCCAAAAGTAATTTTCCCCGACTCAGACAAGGATTCTTCTCCAGTTCTACCAGATTCAGTGGTGGCTCTTTATATATATATATCTGAGAGCAAAGTTTCACCCACTTTGATTAGCTGTAGGAAGACATAGCAGCAGAAAGCTAGCTGGAATCACACCAGGGTTTCAAAATATAGGGGGCTTGTCTTCATTGCTAAACAAGCTATGCATGTTTTTTTCCCTTCCAGGTAACTGCTGCATATTAGCTATCTTGACAGAAAATACACAGTTAGGCAACATTTATTGGCAGGGAGCTGGAACGGCAGCAAGTTAAAGCACCGTGGCAGATTATCCCATAGGTGAATAAACAAGTTTACTGTATTAACACAGAAATAATTAAAAACTTGTCTTTCAGGTGATATTTATGCCCCTTTTATTTTTGTCATTTTGGGGTTAAACTTCACAAAGTCACACATTTAAAGCAACATCATTAGCAATTAGATCCTTGCCCATTTATCATTTGCAGTGATACTTTTCTTAAATGGCTTGCTTACTTTGCCTGCTGTGCTCATGATGGCTTTTTCTCTCACACCTGGGGGCCCCTAGTCACCACTTCTCTGGCTCAGTAGGCTGTGGAGGATTCCTCTTGCTGACTGTCTTTCTGGATGCACCGAGGGGCTGAAGTGGCTCCTGCCTTATTTAAACGCTGCTGCAAATACATGACTCAGACCTTCTAGCCAAGCCCACTAGTTGTGGGCTTGGCTTGGCTTTAAACATCCAAAGCATTGAATAGAAAGATACTAAACTGATCCTCTGATGAAACCCTACTCTCTGCTGTATTTCTATTTCTCTTTTGATTCCTCCCCCCCGCCCCACCCGCCCCGTGTTTTCTTCCTTCCTTCCTTCTCATTCTGTGTCCATGGCTAATTTGAACCTCATAAAAAGAAAAGAAAAAGCTCTGAATCACAGGCCAGAGCTTTCTAACTATGTTTACAGGACTTGTCCATTAAGGGACACATGAGAGGAATAGTTTATTCCATAAGAACAAGAATGAATGGGACCAGCTGTTGATTTACTTTACAGCAGCAAGGGCATTAGATTGGAAAACAGAGTGAATCCAGGATCTTGAAACTTTTCCTGCTCTGTGTACATCTCCCATGATGCACAATTTTGTTAAACTGGTCTGTTGGCTCTCTAAAGCAGGGGTGGGCAATTCTTTGGGCTAGAGGGCCACTTAACAAGTTTTGGTGAGCTGTCATGGGCTGCCCCATCCCTTGACAAGTGCCCCGCCACCTGGTTGTCATCTTGGGACCAATAGTCCCAGCCCTAACCTCTGACCTTTGCCATTGGCAGTCCCTCCCCTTGCCCTCAGAAGTACTTCTTTTGGGAAGGGGGTTTGCCATCTTGGAACCAGGAAAACAAACAAATGATATACTAAAAATCAAACATCTGTAATAGCATATTTTAATTTTATTAAAAAAAAAATTGTCCTGATTTGTGTGTTTGCGCTATTTATAGAAGTGATTCAATAATAGCTCAAAATCAAGTCTTACTCTTGTATATTATGGGGAAGGGTGTGGAGGGTTGTGGGAAGTATGGGAGGGTGGGTATGAGGTTTGTGGGGGGTTCTGTGGTGGGTATGAGTTTTGTGGGGGGTTGATGTGTGTGGGGTGTGGGGAGGGTGTGGGGGTATGTGTGGATGTGGGTGGGTGGTATGGGGGGTTTGTGCAGATGTGTAGGTATGTGAGTAGGTATGGGATTTATAGGGGGCTGTAGGGTGTGTGGAGGGGGAGAGGGTGGCTGGCAGTGTGGGTGTGCATATGTGTGTGGTAGTGTGTATGCATGTAGCAGTGAGGGGGCCTCCTCAGAGGCACATGGGTGTGAGAGTGGGGGGTGTGGGTGGGTGCAGTGTTTGTGGGGTATGTGGAACTATATCATTTGGCCCACAGAGCTCCCTAAGGACCTGGAAATTTGGCAGTGCGGAAGTGGTGGCAATGTTAATTGCCGCTCCCCTGCTGCCAAATTTCTGAGCCTGTGAAGAGCTCTGTGGACCAGGTCATGTGGCCCTTTGCACCTGAGTAACCAGTGCAGAGCTCAATTTGGGCATGCAGTATTGGGCTGGGGGTTGAATCACACCCATGGACAACCCCATGTGCTGACCCGACATGGGATCTAGTCTGCAGACCAACTCCATGCCACTCATCTGGCCTGCAGGACAAAAGTTTGGGTGCCAATACCAAGAGTGGGAGAATTGTGCAATTGTCTCTTAAGGGAGGTGATGACCTAAGGCTTGAAAGCAGAGTGCCTTCAAAGAGGTCAGAGAAGCAGTTAGTCTGGTAAATGTAGCGCTGTTATCCACACATTATGAAGCAATTATCCTAAGTCTAGTACAGAGTCACGTTAGTGCGATGAAATAATCTGTGATAAGTTTAAAACTGCTGGTAATCATGTTAATGAAAAAGACACACTGGGCACATCTACATATGCTATTAATATGATTAAATAAACTCTGGTGCAGTTCACGCTTGGAGGTTATTGCTTCCAGGTGCTACATGCCCAGCACCACAGCATGTTGAGCTGGGGTTGAGCAGCCCCAGCTGATAGGGGGCCCAGGGGGTCAGCCTGCCAGCCTGGGACTGCTCCAGCTCAGCTCAGTGTACTGCAAAGGGGCTGGCTGGGGCACGAGAGTGCTCCAGTGTGGGGCTAGCTGGCAGGCAGCCCCTGCACTGAAGCACCCTTTTGCCCCAGCCAGTCTCATCAGCATCTACATATGCATTGCAGTGCACCAAATAACACCCCTTAGGACAGCACTTGTGTTGCAAGACTCACAGAGTTAATAACAGAGCTGGTGCTGGACTTTGCCCAACTGATAGAGAGCAATTTGCTCTTGGTCAGCTATTTTAATGCATGGTAGACACTGCACATGGTTACATAGTGATGATTTACTGTGCAGTAGGACAGTCTACTGCACAGTAAAGTGTCTCATGTAGACACACCTGCAGGGGTGTTTCTTCCCCTTTCGTTGCAGAAAGATCCTTATATTAATGCTATGATTGTACTGGGATTAAAACTGCTGTCTTTGTGAAGGTGGCCTCTGGGTTCTAATTGGATTAGGGTTGGTGCTTCCAGCTGGGAACCCCTGATTTAAAAACTTTATTGAGAAAATTTAAAAAATTACATGGTATAATATGATTCTGAAAAGGGTGGCAGACACATGATTATACAGTTGAAGAGTAGAAGAGCATTCTTAGGCAGCACATTCAATATGGGGTTAACATTTGCTCCCGTAATGGAGATGCCACAACTTCCCTGGACAGTCTATTCTACTGCCTCACTGTTCTAACAGTAAGAAAGCTTTTCTTGATATCTAATCTACATCTACTTTGCTGAATTTAAAACCATTGCTTTGCATCTTACCTTCTCCAGGAGGGCAGAAAAGTTGTCTTCCCTCTTCTTCATTTCAGATATTGGAAGACTGCTATCATGTCCCCCTTTAATCACCTTTTTCTGTAAGCTAAGCACAACCAGTGATCTCAGCCTTTCCCAAATGGCTTGCCTTCCAACCCTTTATCATTTTTGCCACTTGCCTCCGGACCCTTTTCACTTTCTCTGTATCCTTCTTAAAATAGAGCCTTTAATACTCTAGATGCGATTTAACTGGCATTGAGGAAAAATGACACCATTACCTCCTGTGTCTAACACCCAATACTTCTGTTGATGCATCCCAAAACTGTATTTGCTTTTTTTGACTGTATCGCATCACTAACTTGTATTGGATGCATATATACGTGTGCTTTAATCCACAATAGACTATTTTCCTGCACATTAAAGCATCATGTAAAAACCGTGACATTACATTAATGCACAGTAAAAATACTCTATTGCATATTAAATGTCACTAAAAAAGCATGCAAATGTGCTACTGCTCACTAGTGCAGCCTAATGGGCATTAATTTAGTTCCTCATGTTGGAGGTACTAAATTTAATGTGCATTATAAAAGGCATATTAATGCAAGTGTAGACAAGTCCATTGAGTCTATGATCCATAAAAACCCCCAAGATCCTCCTCAGCAGTCCTGCCACCCAGCCAATTATCTCCCATTCTGTGTTGGTGTTTTTGATTATTCTTCCCTAAGTGCAGCATCTTGCATTTGTCTGCACTGAATTTCATCCTATTGCCTCTAGCTCAGCTTTCTGAACTATCAAGACTTGGAATTTATTCCTGTTCTCCAACGTATTTTCAATCCTTCCCAGTTTCATGTCATTTGCAAATTGGCTCAGGAAGCTCTCTATTATGGCATCCAAATCATTAATAAACATGTCAAATAGCACTGGACCCAGAACAGACCCCTAGGGAATCCCACTCAAAGACGCTCTCTATTGCAGCACTGATTCATTTTTAATTACCCTTTGCTAACAGCGATTGAGCCAGTGTTCTGTCCACCGTGTAGTAATTTTATTTAGCTCATATTTCTCCAATTTGTTCTTAAAAAATCCATGCTGGCTGCTTGTGATCAGCCTTTCTCCTTTACATGTTTATAAATTGACTTTTTTATAACTTGTTCCAGTAACGTCCTGGATATTGAAGTCAGCCTGACTAATTTATACCATGATTACTTGATGCCTCCCCAATAATTAGATTCTATATATGGAATGTTTATAAATTTGTTATAACTTTCCAGGTCTAGAATCTTATTGGAGATTGGCCTTGAATTTGTCCCCCTCCCACTATTACAGCAGACAATATAAATCTGGGGGATAAGGTAGCCCTTTGCTCTGTTTCCCTA